TACAAGATAGTAACTCTGTTTCAAAATAAATAAAAACAAGTCAACATCTAGGACAACGTAGTAAAACTACAAAACCTAAAACCAATAGAGAGAAATGATACATTATCAACAAAGGAAAAATAATATATTAACAGCTAACTTTTCAAAAGGAATACTGGAAGCCTGGAGGCAGCAGAATAATGTCTCTCATGTGCTACTAGTTGGAGGCTGCCAATATAGACTTGTATACCAAGCTAAACTATTCAAGTGTGAAGGCAACATTAAAATTTCAGGCAAAAGAGCCTGGGTATGAATCCAGGCACCACAAATTTTCAGTTGTGATCTCAAGCAAATCATGTAACTTCTCTCAGCCTCTACATAGTTCTACATCTATAAAATAGGGAAAATAATATTTATCATCACAAGGTTATTGCAAAAATTAAATGTGAAATACATTAGCCTCATTCCAAGCACATAACACTGAACCAATGTAAGCTATTATTTTCACTCCACACTCAACATTAATGCATAAGTTTAAAGCCGCTACTTTCAACTAACCCAGTTTTCATTGTTAATTCCTAGAAGCTGTACCACAACTTTAATTACTTTTAACCATAACCTCTGTGAATAGAGGTTTTAAAAGGTTTAACCATTTAAACTCTTTGAAACGTTAGAGGATTTTTTCAAAAATCTCCTTGAATTTAAATTAGAAGAGTTTCTAGGACTTTTAAATGGTCAGGTTACATCTGAAGGAGGCATAGATATTTTAACAATGCCACATACTTGACAATACTTCTTTTATTTTGAGCATTATCATGTATTCAAAAATGAATCAGCATCTTACAATATTTGCAATTGAACTGACCCAGTAGTGTTACCCTATACACAACAGTCCAAGTAATATCTTCAAGGAGAGTTCTAGTCTCAGAACAAAAAGAAGAGCTCAGTTCAAGTTCATGCTCAGACCAAGAAGAAAAAATGCTGCCTCATTTGGTTCTACATAATTATGACTTGTCTCCTTCATGACTCAGATCTAAACCTAACAAATTCCTGGTTCCAATCTATCTCTTCAGCAGCATCTCCAACCACACCCTTCTCTTCTTCAAAATTACCATCAACCCACAAAACAAATGCACGCACACAAAGCTTTTCCCCCAGCATAACTGGATTTCTCTCTTATACCACGACTAAGACACATATTTGGGAAAACTAAAATGTGAAGTCATGTGGGCCTTAGGAAGCATCACTACCAACAAAGCTAGTGGAGGTGATGGAATTCCAATTAAGCTATTTCAAATCGTAAAAGATGATGCTGCAAAAGTGCTGCACTCAATATGCCAGCAAATTTGAAAAACTCAGAAATGGCCATGGGACTAGAAAAGGTCAGTTTTCATTCCAACCCCCAAAAACAGCAATGCCAAAGAATGCTCAAACTACCACACAATTGCACTCATCTCACACACTAGCAAAGGAATGCTCAAAATTCTTCAAGCCAGGCTTCAGCAATACGTGAACCATGAACTTCCAGATGTTCAAGCTGGATTTAGAAAAGGCAGAGGAACCAGAGATCAAATTGCCAACATCCACTGGATCATCATAAAAGCAAGAAAGTTCCACAAAAACATCTATTTCTGCTTTATTGACTATGCCAAAGCCCTTGACTGTGTGGATCACAATAAACTGTGGAAAATTCTGAAAGAGATGGGAATACCAGACCACCTGACCTGCCTCTTGAGAAACCTGCATGCAGGTCAGGAAGCAACAGTCAGAACTGGACATGGTACAACAGACTGGTTCCAAATAGGAAAAGGAATACATCAAGGCTGTTATGTTGTCACCCTGCTTATTTAACTTACATGCAGAGTACATCATGAGAAATGCTGGGCTGGAAGAAGCACAAGATGGAATCAGGATTGCTGGGAGAAAATTCATTACCTCAGATATGCAGATGACACCACCCTTATGGCAGAAAGTGAAGAAGAACTAAACAGCCTCTTGATGAAAGTGAAAGAGGAGAGTGAAAAAGCTGGCTTAAAGCTCAACATTCAGAAAACTAAGATCATGGCATCTGGTCCCATCACTTCATGGCAAATAGACGGGGAAACAGTGGCTGACTTTATTTTTTTGGGCTCCAAAATCATTGCAGGTGGTGACTGCAGCCATGAAATTAAAAGACGCTTACTCCTTGGAAGGAAAGTTATGACCAACCTAGACAGCATATTAAAAAGCAGAGACATTACTTTGGCAACAAAGGTCCGTCTGGTCAAGGCTATGGTTTTTCCAGTAGTCATGTATGGATGTGAGAGTTGGACTATAAAGAAAGCTGAGTGCCAAAGAATTGATGCTTTTGAACTGTGGTATTGGAGAAGACTCTTGAGAGTCCCTTGGACTGCAAGGAGATCCAACCAGTCCATCCTAAAGGAGATCAGTCCTGGGTGTTCATTGGAAGAACTGATGCTGAAGCTGAAACTCCAATACTGTGGCCACCTGATGAGAACAGCTGATTCATCTGAAAAGACCCTGATCCTGGGAAAGATTGAAGGCAAGAGGAGAAGGGGACAACAGAGGATTAGATGGTTGGATGGCATCACTGACTCAGTGGACATGAGTTTGAGTAAACTCCAGGAGTTGGTGATGGACAGGGAGGCCTGGTGTGCTGCAGTCTATGGGGTCACAAAGAGTCGGACACAACTGAGGGACTGGACTGAACTGAAAAACCAGCTTATTCTCAGAACCCAAAATTGCTTCAGATGTCACTATAATTTTTATATTAATTTTAAGTTAATTCTTTTGTCTCCTCAGTAATGGTTTTTAAGTAGGAAAGCAAATATTTTCAAACTAATTTTTAATGTGAGTGAAAGTTGCTCAGTCGTATCCAACTCTTTGCAACCTCATGGACTATACAGTCCATAGAATTCTCCAGGCCAGAATACTGGACTGGGTAGCCATTCCCTTCCCCAGAGGATCTTCCAACCCCAGGTCTCCTGCACTGCAGGTGGATTCTTTACCAGCTGAGACACCAGGGAAGCCCAAGAATACTGGAGTGGGTAGCCTATCCCTTTTCCAGTGGATCTTCCCCACCCAGGAGTCAAACCAGGGTCTCCTGCATTGTGACCGGATTCTTTACCAGCTGAGCTATTAGGGAATCTATCTAATTCACTTATAATATTTACATGTGAGGTTTAAGAAAAAAGTTCTACTTTAAACTATGTTTATCTTTCTAAAATATAAACCTGTTAAGTCCACTGCATGTGTGCTCAGTAGCTAAGTTATGTTACACTCTTTGCAACCCCATGGACTGTAGCCCACCAGGCTCCTCTGTCCATGGGATTTTCAGGCAAGAATACAGGAGTGGGTTGCCATTTTCCTCCTCCAGGGCATCTTCCTGACCCAGGGATCAAACTTGAATCTCCTGCATTGCAGGGAGGTTCTTAACCACTGAGCCACCTGCGAAGCCCAATAAGGCCACTACTCCACTGGAAATTCTTCAATGGTGACCCCATGTTGAAGAAAAATTCTACATTCTTTATCATGGTACCAAGTACTCTGATATCTGGTCTCTCCACTACATTGCAAGTATTCTGGGTTTCAGTCATCAGAACAGTCAAGGATGCCCCAAACACAAAACACTCAAATCTCTCCCTTGCTTTTGTTATGCCATTTGCCTAGAAAGGCTTTCCTCAGCCTCACTCCAATAAAAGCTTAATAAACTTTCCTAGCACAAGTCAAATGTCACATCATTCTGGAGATTTCTCTTAATCTCCTTAGACAGTCACAATCCTCCCGAAGGGTACAAAGGATGCCATCAGTGGTTGAGATCATTTAGATGAGTTAGGCCCACTTGGGTTGAAATCCCAGGTTCACACTTCACTCAGCTATGACCTTATTCAGATATGGGCAAGGTCTCTGAGGCTATTTCCTCATCTCTAAATAACAGGAGCTACTTCATAGGATTGTTGTGAGGATAAAATAAGGGGCTGCATGCAAAATATGCCTCCCATAGAGTAAGTATTCAATACATGTTATTGTGATATAGTATCACTATAACATATTCCCACTCTGGGCTCGCAGCAACTTGCACCCGTCTCTCCACACTATTATGATGACAGGACTGTGTGCCTATGCAGGACACAGATTATCTTCTATCAGCTCTTAATTCCCACCACCTGGCATACTGCCTTGTGCAATATGATATGTGATAATAGATCCTTAACAAATCCTGAATGAATGAATAAATAAATCCTAAATGAATAAATATTTCAAATTCCTTATGTGTAACATAAGGCCTCGATTTTATCCCCAGTGGTCTTATTAAAGTTACTTTTTATCTCCTCCTACAAAACTGCTTCTTTAAATCAAGTTTACAGTGACCAAAGAGAAAATGAATCTTATAGTGAGAGAAAATTAATTTCATAGTGACCTTAAGCTGTCTTCTTGTTTAGAAACACACACACACAAAATAAGCCCATACTGCACCAATAATTTTCCAACACACCATTGTAAAATACCAGATTTCTAGGACAGTTATCTACCTATTGAAAAATTTTAAAAGGGTGGACTAGGGAGGTTTTCTAAATCTGTATCAGCTTCCTTACCTCCAGGGCCTGGGCAAACTTTAGGGACTAAAATGTATTTCAGAGCATTAAAAAAGAAAGAACAGGGGACTTTTCATTCTGAAAAATGGTCCTAAGAAATTTTGAAAAGCATGGTAATAATAGCAAGAAAATAATTATTACTACCCACTGCTAAAAATTTAGTTTAAAAACACAATCCTGTACTTAAAAAAAAAAATTTAGTAATTCAAAGTTGAAATAATCATAAAATGGCATCAAAATATGTGTAGGTAGTGTTCAGGCTAGTAGGCTGAGGTGAAGGAGTGCTCACTTTGTAATCGTGGCCCTCAATAAATAAAATGCAAAACGGAAAAAATATCAGATACTACTATACAACAGCATGGTACTTTTTATCTACTTCCACACTTAACCTTTAAACATTAATGCCCTTTGAGTAATTATTAACCAATGGGATTAATTAATGCAAACTCCTCTGAACTACTTCAGAATAAATCTGATCAAGTACCTAGCAATAAAGGAGGAAATCAGGGAAAGGAGAAAAATCGGTTAAAATATAGTTTTTCGGTCGCCCATCAAAAGTGTGCCATACATACGGTTCTGCACCAAGAGGCAGCAACTAGGGAGGGTGAGAGGCGCCGAAGGCCCGAGGCCCCGCAGCCCCGGAGGCGACTCCTCCCCGACTCTACACGGGGCAGTGGCCGGGCCGGGGTGGAGACAGCGCTGCAGCCGGGGCGGGACAAATGGCAGGGCGGAACGCCCGAGTCTCACCTCCACTTCCCCTTTAGAACCCCATTCAGCGACCACCCCAGAAACCCCTCACCAGAGAGAGAGAGACTCTCCCTGTCTCCCCCGGCCGGCTCAAAGTTTATCGGTCTTTCCCAGCTGTCGGGGCCGCCGGGCTTTGTAGTTCGCCCGTCCGGGCCGAGCCACCAAGGCCGCAGGCCCGAGGAGCCTCTGAACTACAATCCCCATAATGCCCCGCGCGCCCACCGCTCGCGGCCTCTCTCTCACCCGCTCTCGCGCAGCACGCAGTCTCCCCCGCCGCGCAAGGCCCCAGCGTCTCCGGCAGCGGGAGCTGGGGTGTGGCTGTCCACCCAAGCACCCCACCACCGGCTCTCTCGCTGGCCCCCGCCCCACCTCGGATTCATTACCTAGGTGGCGCAGGTCGGCCGACCGTTTTTGCCGCGGTCCAGGTGGGGTTGGGGTGGGACACAGGCTGCCGCCGCCGCTGCGGAGTCCGTTAGTTCCCTACGTGCGTGAAGAGGCGGCGGCGGCGGCGGCGGTGGCCGCCTGTTGCCATGACAGCCGTGGGCCGCGCGGTGGGGCTGGGGGGTAGCGCGAGGGTTCGGAGTCGGCTCGGGGAGGAGCCTGGGCAGCGGCCGGGGCTGCGGGAACAGGGAGGCGTGAGGGTGCGCCGGAGAGCGGAGGGAGACGGCGCCACTGAGGAGGACGGCTGACGAGCTGAGCTCTGGGGCCGCCGACGAGTCCTGCGCTGCAGCGTCCACCCCCCGTGCCAGGACGCGAGTCCACTCTCTCCTGAGAGAGAGATGCGAGTGGCGTCAGAGGAAGGAGCGGCGCCGGCTCTGCAAAGGTCGCGGGTCCAGCCCCTCCCTCGCCGCCCATCCTGGCAGCCTCCTCTGGCCCGGCCGTCTGGCGTGTTTGGAACCTAAAAGCCACCTCACTGGGGCTTCTTCACCAGTAAAAACCAAATCTGCAGCCTTTCACACCTCCTTTCTGCCATTTTCTGAGTGGGATAAAACGAATCATTTACTAAAACGTAATGCACACGGCCTTTACGATTATTCAGAAGGCTTGAGAATTTGTTAAGTGGCGTTGATTTCAATTGACAGTTGGTCTCTAATAACCCTTGAATAATCGGTGTGGGGGAGAAGGAAATGACAACCCACTCCAGTGTTCTTGCCTGGAGATTCCCAGGGACAGAGGAGCCTGGTGGGCTGCCATCTATGGGGTCGCACAAAGTCTGACACGACTGAGCGACTTAGCAGCAATCGGTGTGGACTGGTCGTGACCCGCCTCAGAGATGCTGTGAGGTTAAGAGCAACAACGTCTAAAATACTGATAACCAGGGGCCAGTGAATCGCACTGATGCTCAACGTTTTCGTATGCAAAACGGAGGTAATAGCTGCTTCACAGGACTTGTGAGAAATAAAAGCTTTGATACTAATGAAGCACCCTAAAATGCTGGGATTTAAACATAACTTTTAAATATTAGTTCTTTGATCCGTGGTGATCAGAGCCAGAAGGGTGGGAGCCTGGAGGAGAGGGTGTAGTTTGCCTGAAGAGAGAATTTTTCTGTGATGGAAAAGTTCTGTATCTTGCTTAGGATTTGGGTTAGGAGGCTTCTCTGGTAGCTCAGCTGATAAAGAATACACCTGCAATGCAGGCGACCCTGGTTAGATTCCTGGGTCGGGAAGATAACCTGGAAAAAAGAAGGGTCACCCACTCCAGTATTCTGGCCTGGAGAATCCCCATGAACAGAGGAGCTTGGTGGGCTACAGTCCATGGGGTCCCTAAGAATCCCACACGACCGAGCAACTTTCACTTTAGGAGGGTATATGCATTTGTCAAAACCCATGAAATGCTACCTGTAGATTTGTATGTTTCACTGTAAGTAAATTTACCTCAAAAAGGAACATTAAAAATGTTAGCGATTGTTGTTAGAGCTGTTGTTGTTAAGTCTTTTGAAGTCGTGTCTGACTCTTTATGACCCCATGGACTACAGCACCCCAGCCTCCTCTGTCCACCATCTCCCAGAGCTTACTCGAATTTATGTCCTTTGAGTTGGTGATGCCATCCAACCACCTCATCCTCTGTTGCCTCCTTCTCCTCTTGCCCTCAATCCCAGCATCAGGATATTTTCCAGTGGGTCAGCTCTTCTTATCAGGTGGCCAAAGTATTGGAGCGTCAGCATCAGTCCTTTCAGTGAGCTGTAGATGCTAATAGAGACCATATACATATTCTAGCTCCAGTTGCCAGAAATGTAGATGAGGAAAATGAGGCCTACAGATTGAAGTAAATGGAGAAGGAAGTAGGGATTTTTGGCCCTGTTGTTTTCTAGTAATAAATGTTTCTCCAGAAATCATGATTAAAAATAGCAAGCTGCCATGTATGTGATCCAGTTTTCAGTTGGGGTCACCTTGTCCACAGGGGTTTTGTGGAAATTGACTCAAGTCCCTTTTCCAACTCCTGCGGAAGGCCAGGGTTCTCTCCAAGGTCAGATGTTCCCTGGGGGCTTACAGTTTCAGGGTCAATTCTGGTTCCGAGCTCTAGTTTTCTCTGAACAGTTAGACTCCTTCACATCCCACCTCCTGTAATGCCTTTCTCTCCTGCTGCCACACGATGTGGAAAGCAGACTCTTTGGTTGTTTGTATAGCAGAGTCTTCTGAAGGTTTGGAGCAACTGAAGTGTTTTAAATGAAGGATATACTCTCCTTACTTAGTACTCTTATCTCTGTCTCCGAGTCTATACTTAGGGCCACCTTCCATTCCTAAACTGTTTATCAAAGTATGTTCCTATACCAAGAAAGTACATTGCCAAGAGAAACTGTAGTGCCAGCTATTAAAATAATAGTCTTCACCCCAGAATATATCTGCATATTCTATTTGATTCAGCCCACAGTATAGTTACTCAGTAAGTATTAAGCAGCTTATGCACATGATGTGTTTAGGCTACCTACAGAGTGGTAGCCTGTAAAACTATTTAGTATAAAACTAGTTTTATGAAAACTATTTAGTATAAGTGAGAAAGGGGTTGCCAGTAGCTGAATCTGATGTCTAGGAGGGAAAAAAGAAACCAAACTATAAGATCACAGCTTCTATCGTGCAGAAGAAATGACAGCATTCAAACGAGAAAATCCAGAACAAAACCTAATTGTGTAACGAGCACAGAAGCAACACCCAGACCTGTCACCTCTAGCAATTTGGTCACAACTGTGCACATACAATAAGGCTATAAATAGACTCTCCTTTTCTCCTGGGGAAGCTGATACTGCTCGGCTCCCAGCTGAACACATGTTTAGTTGGGGTGACAGGTTCACCTAATCCATCGATCCCTCATCTGGTTTCCCTCGTTCGCAGTTACTCGCAATTGCAAGGCAGCTGGCTGGGGTCTCAGTGCAGCCCACAACCAGAAACAGGTCTCCAAACACACGGTCCCATGTGTAACCCCTCCTTGTTTTCTTGAGTCAGGATCCCAGAGCCTCTGCTCAGAAGGATAGGCCCCTTGAGGAGAGTGGATGACAGCAGCAAAAGGGAACAGCTGCTTTGCAGGAAGCTGAAGGAGGGCAGTTACGCACGAGAAGACCACGAGCCACTGAAGCACAGCCTTAAAAAAAACCTAACTTGCTCTGGACGGCTGGGAAACCATGGGGACTGGGTGTTTTCACTCAGTACTTTCTACCAGTTCAAATGATAGTTAAACACACCAAGCAAATTCAAAAGATTGATCCACTGAGATAGACAATATGGTCAACGTTACCCTCATCAAAGAGACTTCATGAGAATTCCCTGGCAGTCCAGTGGTTAGGGCTTGGCGATTTCACTGTGGGGCCTGGGGTTCAGTCCATGGTCTGGGAACTAAGATCTCACAAGCTGTGCGGCAGCCCTGCCGGCCCCCCTCCCCCAAAAAAGAGAAACATGCTTCTAACGTGAACCAGTTTTCCCTCAGTCCTCAGTTCCTTGGGCTCAGCAGCCTTTGACTTTGCAGACCTCCCTCCTACATGCTCCTTGACCTTGGTTCTCTGCAAAGCATTGTCACTGAGTTCCTAACTATGTCTTCTACCTGCTTCTTAAACGTGGGCACAGTTTCCAACGTTCAGTTCACAGGCCCTCTCCATGTGCAAGGCTTCATTCTGGCCCTGGCCAGCACGCGGGTTTCCCTCGCTGGCTCTGACTCCCAGGTTTCGGCACCACACCAGACGTGCAGGGACTCGTCCTGTTGCTCCTGGTGTTCTCTTCACCTGGGATGCTCCCTTCCTTCCCTAAACTCTGCCTGTTCCATCAAAAATAGCTCAGGCCTTGACAAGAAACCTTCCCAGATCATTCCTGCTCACAATCCTATACTACCCAGTATTACTCCCCTATGTCATCCACTTGACATCTAACCAGGCTGCCTAGTGGCTGATCGAGTATTAATTACTCATTGGCTTTTGTCTTTTCTCCTTATTAAATGTCAAGCTCCTCTGATGTGCATTTCTGGATATTCCCCAAAATACCTTTATAATATCTTTGGCGTTAAAAGGACAGAATGTTTTTGACTCGGTGGGTCTTTAGCTTTTCTACTTAGTGAAACCTCCTCTCTGATGGCCCAACTCCTCAGCATCTCTCCTTAAAGTTGCTGGCCCTTCACTGTTCTGATCTCCAGTCCCCAAGACAATTATGATGTATGGGTTACTCCAGTGTTCTTTTTAGTTTTTTAGGCCCTCCAACTTCTGTTCAACCGGTTCCCTATGTTAAATTCTCTCTGTTAAAATACTTAGTTTCTTTTTTTCCTGACTGGTGGAACCTGACCAATACAGATGGTAAAGTAACATGTATTTCCTACTGTGAATGTCAGTGAGAAAGGGTCAAGAACATTGCCTTAGAGGAGTGGGGTTCTTAAATAAACATGCAGCTGCCCTGCGTGCCAAAGGGCCACTCCTGACAGGTAGAGGCACTCTGCGTTTCAGGTCTGTGAAGATCAAAGACCCAGCTCCCCAACAGCAGTGGTCTCTGTGAGGCCCCTGGGCCTCACCTGGCCCTAAGTCTCACTGCCCACGAGCCTGCAGTGTTCTCCCAGAGCTTGGTCCGAACCCCAGGCTTCATCTGGAATGTCACCTCCCTTAGAATGTGGAAACTCAGCCTTTTCACTTGCTGACCTTCCTATTTCTCCTTGGCAAGTGAGAGGAGGTGAAAAGTTAATGAAGAGAAAAGCCAGGAAGTGGTACCAGAGTCCTCATAAAGTGAACTGGAATTTGGCTAAGTGGAGGAAAAGGATTAAAAAGATTTTCAGGGTGGCAATTTTGTCTCTCTGATGTTGCCTTTTTTTGAAGGTAATGGGAGGAGATAATAACCCAGAGAAGGAAGTGAGGCACCTTGTGCCTCAGTTTCTGCCTTATCCGCACACCATGAGGCTTTGCTCTGTTTTATTCATATACTTCTGCGTCAGTGTTTTCGTTAGAAGTGAGACTTTTTTGAAAGCCCAGAACCATTTTAGGCCAGCCTCACTTATTCCTAATGAAAGAACTGCTCCCCACTTTAGGGATTCAAAAAGATTTCTTCTGAATGCCAAAATAAACATAAAACCTCTTGGCAGCAGCCTATGGGAATTCTCCTTGCTTGTGAGTCTGTATTTCTTTATGTTAATTTACAAATATGAACAGAAAACCCAGAATTCGAGGTTGTTAAGTGGATTTGTAACACTCTGGAGGGTTGCTGGTAGGGAACTCAATGAATGAACACAGTCCCCTGTGACAACTGAGCCCTGGCATTTCATTGAGCTCCACAGGAAGTCGTCGTGAATACGCTGCAAGATGCTAATACGTTAGCAGCAACGCTTCCTCCCCCCTCTCTGTTGGAGGACCTTATGTTTAGTAGAGGGATCCATAACCGAATAGGCTGTACTGG